CTCATGGCCCTTGGGGCAACATTGGCCCTGGTGACCTCCCTATTTGCATTTCGGGATATCACACTCAGCTGGCGCAACATACGGGTCTTAAGGGAGGAGAGATTACACCTAAGGCGAGAACAAGCGCGATGTCGTGACAACACGGCTTGCTTGCGAAGTGTGGAAGCCTTGCTGGGTGTCAACTTCCGTGAGAGTGGCACTGAGCTTCTGGACCGGCTCATCGTGGATGTGCTGTTGGGCTTCGGTGCCCTTCTGGTCAGCATTGGTACTTATATGGCTATTGGTGGAGCCAATCCTTCCGTCTTTGCCGCCAGCAATCTGCTCTCAGGGTACATCGGCAATGCTGCAGGGGCACTTTACGGCCTCATCAATGCAGGATGGTCTACCTACGTTTCAATACGGGCATATCGCCATCGCTCTGCAGGTCTCGTCAAATTGCAGTCAGATGTCGCCAAACGTCTGCTGCGGCGTCGCACGCGCCAAGTACAGACTCACGCGATGGTGCTTGCAATTACGGGTCTTGCAGCGGGCGCAGGAGGTCTTATAACTGCCACGATGTGGTGGGGTTATATCATCCTGGTCCCTTGCATTGTGTCCAACATCTACTGCAACTGGATGTGGCGGCACCAAATCGGATACGAACGACCTATAGCTGCCAACATTGTCGAAATCGACCAACAATCGCTGATCAGAGAGTTGGAACGGGTCAATGCTATGAGCAATTATCTGGGCAACCGGAAGCCGTCAAATTCGCCCAAAGGCGACACGACTCATGATTTCACATCGATCATCTCGATCATCCATTTCATGATCTCCATCGACGTTTTTGAAAGCTTCTGTGTCCGCGTCATGCGGGACCGACGGCTATCTGCAGCTCTATTGCAAGCATCAAAAGGAGATCTTACCATTCATGAACAAACATTCCGGGAGCTAGATCAAAAGCATTTGCCGCTGGTAATAGAGATCGCAAGGTTACACATACAAGAAAAGGGTCCTGTACAGTTGAGATACCGAGAGAGGTACCTCCTGGAGGCTCTGGGGTGTTACCTGCGGGTACAAGGTGACACACCCACTAGCAAAGAGCTGGAGCATCCACTTCCACAAGAATCAGCATAGTATATACATTTTAATAAGACCGATATCTTTCCCTTTCCTCCCCTTTTCGTCGTCCTGGACCGAATTTGCTCTACAACGCGAGGCAAACATGATTATCCGGAGCACCATCTTTCACATGCAGGACTGGACCATCCGTCGCTCAGAAGATAGCAGCAAGTCTAGAGCATACCGTCGAATTTTCTTCCTAAGTTAGCATCAATATGTCAACCGTCTCTTCCCACTGACGAACCTTCGCTTCTGAGGTAGCTCGCTGCTTTGGCTGGGATATTTCGTAGAACGAACGGAGTCTACTGTCATTGTGCCAATTCATCGTATGTATTAATAACCGAATGAACCAAATCCATAAAACATGAGTCCGTCACACTCAATGTAGACGTCATTCATGCATTACTCACGCAAAAGCATCGAAAAAGGCTGAGCAGTGAGCATCTACTGATACCTAGCGGGGGAGGATGTCGACAAGGCGGCGTGGCGGACATGCCCGGGCGCCATCGCGCCCCACATTCTTTGTAAATGTATATATTTTACAATCCCCAAAATTTGCAAGAAAATCATCTCGATTTCCACACGGTTCTATAGTGTAGTGGTGATCACTCCGGATTTTGATCTGATGATGGACACTCGTGTTCGCCATCATCGCTGAATTATCTTCCGGCAACCCCGGTTCGAACGTGAGTCTCATAATGCCAAACCTCGATAACGGTCAACATAAATACTGATAATGTACCAGCCGGGTAGGACCTGTCTTCAAAGCACGCTTTTCTTTTTTTTCTTCGGTTGTATTGTTGTGGTTCAGTGGTTAGTGGTAGTGTGGTAAGCCGAGTTTGGTTTTTTTTCTTCCAGAGAAATACGTTGTGCGCGCCCAACCCATCAAAGTTTTGGGGACCTATGACAGCATGTTATTTTTCCGCTTCGGTGTAACATTAACTACCAAGGCCCCCTTTTTGGCCCTACAATTCCTGGCTGCTAAGAGCACACAAGCATACACCATAGCTAGGATAGATGCAAAACAAGATCTCATCTCCTTAGACTAGCATGTATATCATCTATTCCTAAGTCAATGAATTTGTCTTGTCAGTGTGTGAAGAAAGAGTCTGGCCGTTATATTAAGCTGGATACCGCCTGCCAATCTCCAGTATCTCGTTAATCGACTGACCAGACAATGCCGAAAGCAAAAGGTGCATCTTCGGTGTCAAGACTTCCAACCAGCCTCTTTAGATAAAGTGTAGACTGTCCCGGCTTTCGCCGCCACTGACTATCGTCCAATCCCCTTCCTCCTCGAGACTATCGTTGCCAGGCTCGGGATACTTCTTCAGATGCTCAATGGCCCATCTCGTCTCATCCCCCAGCACGGGCGGACACCTCCCGCGGTCCTCGAGTAAGGGTAGACCAGCCAAATCAAACAGACCTCGAAGCCAGTCCATCGTCTCCCCGTTGTCCCAGGGGATGTCGTGAAACTTTCTTCCCTCCCTGCTCACAAGTCTCCACCTCTCCCGCTCCCATTGCTCCTGTGCCTCGCGCGGCGGGAGCGGCTGGGCGTTTCTGCCCGCAAACAGCCGTGCCAGGGCGATTGCCTGGTACTCAAACGAGCGGAACGTGAGGACACGTGGAACTCCGACAATGCCTAGCGACCTTGGAAAGTCACGGTGGAATGTATGCCAGTAGCTGCCGATCAGACGGTTTTCCTTGTAATCCCACAGCGGCCCACCATTGGCGCGGACATTCCAGAATGGAAATGATGCTTTGTAGCCTGTGCAGTAGAAGACGACGTCGATGTCGCCGAGGACGGAACCATCCTCAAAAACGATGTCGCCACTCGCGAGATACTCCTTCACAACAGGTTTCCATTCAATGCCTGGAGGTGGCTTGTCACCATCCCAACGCGAAGGTGACCTACGAGACTGATAGACGGGAAGCCGCGCAGAAGTGATCAGCGCCGCCGTGATGTCGTGGCCAGATGCAGAGTTGCCGATGACCAGCACCCGTTTGCCGCGATATACCTGTGGATTGCGGAATGATTTGGAGTGAACCACCCGTTCTGGGAACAGATGGATATATGAGTCGAGACCAGCGACTTTGGGGATCTTTAGATCAGGTGGCAATCAGGATATGCAAACTTCAGACTCTTCGAGTGGGGGCCCAAACGACTGGGACAGACTTACGTATGGTATGGAGTAGTGGCCATTTGCGATGATCACAGCGTCGAACCTTTCTTCCCACCAGACATCCACGTGCCGGACTGAATCTCTTCGTCGAAGTGTGAGGTTCCACCCCTCCTTCCCTGGTATTCTGGACAAATCTTCCACCGTGGTGTTCAACACAAGAAACCTGTCTGTTTGGTGTAGCGAAAAGTAGTCCGCTATGTATTGCCTTGGTATCCAGTGAGGTGCAAAGGGTCCATACGCAAATCTATAGTCTGAGAAAGACATAGCAATGTCCGGGACATTGGTCCTGCCATGGTTTATATCAATTGACCATTGCTGAAAGTAGAGGCTTGCCCTACTTACGTTAGACTGTCGTAGATTGGTGTTCTCTCATATCGTTCTTGGAAATTGGGGGGCGTCATCTTAGGAAGTGCATCAGGAATATCCAGAGGAGGGTCGATCTGCGGAGGGATGCCACCAGGTAGCAGCTTGTAGCGAGGCCCTGGGTCAGGATCGTATATCCTAATCGTTGTTTCTGTCATCTGCAAGGCTGCGAGGGCCATTTGGGGATAATCTAAGTCCTACCATGTTCCGCCTGGGGCCTCTCGCCGTTCGAATACGCGGATTTGACTGAAGCATTTTTCCGCTGCAAAAGCCGCCGCCGCCGCAGCTCCTTAATCTCTCAATGTGAGCGACGCATGGCTTGGTAAGGGGTAATAGGGAACCAGAAAACGAGTGGTATTACCTGCTGCACCAGCACCAATAATGGCGACAGACTGAACTGGGAGTGTTTCCATAATTCCTGAACAGGATATCTTGGCCGAAAAGTCAGTGTGTAAGCCTCAAGTCCAGTACATTTAGAAGTCAACATTGTCGATGTTGAATAGTTGGACAAGATTCGCCATCCAGCGCAGGATGGCGTGCTCGAGGCTCAGGGCATGAGGCGAGTTACCGAAATCTAAAGCTAGCCTCTCAGAACCCCTCATAGAGGAGAGATCGTGGCAGCAGAACCTCGACATTACCTTCAGATCGTCAACTGGAGGTGCTTTCCTCGAGGGTCTTTCCGGATATGATTATCCTCGCGTATCCCACATGCAGCGTCTTAACGCCAGATCCAGCAGACCCACAGGCCAAGGGACCATTCAGATGCTTCGAAAGAGGACTATTTGGGGATGTGCCTTTTCGTAGACTTGATACTTATAGTAATTGATACGGAGGGTATTGTGTGGCTGAACATGGTGGATATATCGGTGGAGCCTTGTCGTCGGTCGCACCCATCTCGGTCGTCAACCAGCACGATCTTCCATGGCAAGCTTGAGCATCGTTTTAAAAACAGGACTCGCAATCACGTATGCTTGTAGTCTTTGACGACAAGAAATATTGGTGTCGTGGAAGCGAGAAGTGTGGGCTTGTGCGAGTAGAGGCACAGGGTCCGGTAGGAATTCGACCTCAGAGTCTACTCTTTCGTATCTGTTGCAAATAGATAGCACTTGTTCAGCTCATACGGGCAGTGATGCCACGCGTACGAGGCCTCATGATTCGTTATGAGAGTGAATGCAAGTGGAAGGATCAGGTCACCGAAGACTAGCAGCACGTGAGCTCCGAGTAGTTTTCGCCCATATTTGTTGCCGCCAAGCCCAGTCGCCCGATGCGCATCCCAAGCTCCGGATACAAAGTCGAATCTCGCATGTTTTCGAGGCCAGCGCCAACAGGAACAATTGCTCGACGACCACTCTCAAAATGGCGCGAATAAGGCTCCTGCGAGCTGTAAGTGCCCCTTATCAGACCTCTCCAACAACTCTCTAATCATCATCTAGTCGAGACATGCCGCAGTGTTCGCCCTGGGAGCAACCGCTGCGACCCAAGTCCATGTGCTTCCCTCGCCATTCCGTACGGTCTATGCGGAAGCTCCCTCAAAAGACCAGGTACAAACGACGTGTTTGCACTTGCTTGGATAGCTTTGCTGATGCTACAATAGCTCCCCGACAAGAAGCCATATACTCCGACTTCCCCGTTGCGCCCACCTCTCCCGAACCCTCCCCTACGTCTCCCGTCTCGAAACCAAACCCGCACTCTCCTACACCTACAGACCGACTCGCAGAGCAAGTAAAGAAAGCCCGCCTGTTTCTGTACGACCAATCCCTCGCCGCGGAGACATCCTTCAACAAACTCCTCTCATGGGCCTTCCGTAAGGAAACAGACTTCAGCAACACCATTGCTTCCTTGGCCCCGGCTCCCGAAACCGGAGAACAACTCCTTCCTGGAGCTATCTACGTACTGGTCGCCACACTTACAGGCTCCATTGTAAGCCGAAACAGGGGAATTTTCTTGCGGACCACATTCCCGCTTGCCGTAGGCATTGCAGCGGGCTGGTACCTCATTCCCGTGACGATGCAGAACACCTCGGACTTGATCTGGGAGTATGAGAAAAAGGTGCCCGCAATCAGCGAGACCCATGCTCAGATAAGTGGGTTTGCGAAGGAAGCGTGGAGACAGACGAGGTTGCACACGAAATTCGCGACGGATTGGGCCGACGAGAAGGCGAACGAGGCGAGGAAAACTGTCGAGGACTTGGTTTCAAAGGGCAAATAAAAAGCTTCCTGTTCTGCAGGGCGGGTTCATTAAAAAAAGAGAAACTTGAATTAACTAAGACCAAGATGGGGTATAGCTCCCAGAGGCAAAGCCAGCACTGTTTTACGAGACGTGGTGGTAGGTCGGTTTGCCCAATGTACAGAACAATGGCGTTTCGTCTCTTTCACGTTCCAAGCCTTCCACTGTGCCTGCTCGTGTGACCGTTTGAGGGAGGGGAGGTTCCCTCTGTGAAGCTCCGCCCCTCAAGACTACGCCAGATCCAACGACATTGATTGCGTCCGGAGCCCCTCCACCTTATCATGGCATCGCTACTCTATAGTGTGACTTACAGGACTGGTGAGAATCGGACTCATGGCTCATTCGAAGCTAGAGGGACGACGAACCAGCTCCGGCCCACTCGCGGCCCAAAAGTTTCCAAGGCCGGCGATAAAATATGATAGAGAACAAAAATTAGTCCAGCTTGTGTATTAGAGGGGGCGACATATCGCGTTGTTCAATACGTAGAGTAGGCGAGGCACTAACATGACTGTGTGGATGATATGCACATGTGAGACAAGATTGATAATTCCCAGAGCTCAGTCTGGGATGTATTGGCAACTATCAGCTCAAATGTCTGATGGTGTTGTATATGCCCTCTGTTTTCTTATCTTCTTGTCTTCTTGATTGTGCACGGGACTGGAGAGAAGGCAGCGGCAGGCCAGATCCTCGCCCCTAGGAGAGTGATGACTCCATAAGAGGCACGAGAGACCCAGTCCTTGAGCCAGGTAAACATACAATGGCTCTGTGTAGATAGAGATTTTCCATTTCTTGTGCTGGACTTCGAGTTTCTCGCTCCCTGCACACTCTGGACGCCGTCTCTTCTCATTCCCATACTCGGTATTGTCCCTAATCGACCAATTCACGGCAACAGCCATGGCACATTTCCATTCAGAATACCCCCCAGGTCCAAATTCCAGGTCCATCACATATGCAGACTTCGGCGTACATGCTGCCGCTATCGCCTGCGAACATGGGCATTCCTCTCGAGCATCGATCGACAAGATTATGCATTTGCAGACGGCATCACGCCCGAAGCTGCCCGCGTTCAGCAATACTTGCTTTCGCTTCATGCCGGGGCTGTCCTGAGGTCAGAAGCGAGGATGGTGGCATAGGAGCCGAGTCCCTTGCCATGTCTCCGCTGATGGTATGGGATAATAATAGCCCTCTGCTTGCTGACGGTCCTGGCGAGTCCCCACTGTCCAATATGCTGTAATGAAGACGTCATCTTATTGCTCGACGCTCAAGTCGTGAACAAAGTATCCTCCTCCCTCAGATACTCGCCAACATCACCCTGCCGGAACGCGACAATGCTGGTGGGCTCCAGCTTTCTCGCCTCTGCCGTGCTCCTTGCAGTAACGCCGAAGCCTAGCGGGGTATCGTCCATTGCGAGAATAACGACGCCCGAATGCTCAGGGCAATCTTCACTCCAGCGGCCCACATGCGCTTTTACAACATTCCCGCCATACAAGAACGGCATTTCACCATTCGGCTTGATCCATAGCTTGTAACGAGCGTGCGGAGCAATAACATCCAAGGCGGTGATGTGCAGGCGGAATTTGCCTGTCTTGGTAAATTTTCCAATGCAGGTGCCGAGGGAGAGGAGGTTGTCACGAGCAATAGAGGTGGCTAGATTTGCGATCGAGAGACGGACATAGTAGACGCGCGATTCATGCAGGCGGAAGACATAGCGACCGTCGTTGTCAGAGGAGTCGCTCGGGGCAATGAGTTGGGTCAGGGAGCGGCCAGTGTAGTTTGCCAGTTTGGTGAAGAGAGTCTGCGTCTCGACATCGGTAAGTGGCCTCATCCTGACTCATTAGCCTCAAAGAAGGCGGAAATTTTTCTAACAGTACGTTCAGAAGATATGGAGTGCGCAAAGACTGCGGACATCAAAATTGAGGCCGAAATAATTTTTTGCGGAGCGGCAGATCCTCGGGTCAACTTTTTTCTTTGGTGGCAGTTGACCGAAATTTGATTCTTTGCATACAACATTTGCTGAGAGCACAAGGTCTCTCGAAAGTTTAGCAATGCCTCACGGCCGTCCAGTGAAGCGGAGACGCCTCTCTCCTCCCGTCGATGACAGCAAATCCTCCGAGACTATCAAGGCCTCCGACCTCTTCGTGCGCGCTGCAGATTGGGATCTTGAGCAAGAATACGAAAAGAAGTCGAGGCAGAAAAAGGCCAAAGAATCAACGCGACTGCCAATCAAAACTGCCGAAGGCAGACTTCAAAGGATAGAAGAGAAGGTACCAATCGAGAATGAGGACGACTCGGATAGTTTCCTGGGATCTGGCACAGACGGGGAAGACGAGGAGGGCGACACTCCTCCCACTGAGACAGAGCCTACCGTTCCGCAAGTCCCTTTGAAGCAGCAAATTGTCGCTGCCAAAGAAGAGATCGCACGCATTGCTGGTCTGCTGAACGAGGACCCGGAAGAACATGCGGGCTCCTTCAAAAAGTTGGCACAGGTTTGCAGTCCGACTTCGCCGATTGCGGTCCAAAAACTCGTCCTTGCAGCACAAACAGCGGTCTACAAGGACGTAATCCCAGGCTACCGGATACGGTCTTATAAGGACGAAGAACTGGGGAATAAAATCTCCAAGGACGTGCGACGAACCAGACAATACGAACACGCTCTCGTGACTGGGTATCAAGCATACGTTAAGCAACTGGGCAGTCTTGCAAAGGCCCGTAAGGGTGATGCAGAGATACAGTCCTTGCGGAGTGTAGCGATCAACTGCGCATGCACTCTACTCCTCTCCGTACCACACTTCAATTTCCGGACCGAGATACTGGGTATTCTCGTCCACGAGGTCGCCAGTCGGGAATCGTCACCCGACTTTATCAAATGCGTAGAGACATTTGAAGAGTTCTTCTCCCACGATGAAGACGGCGCACTGTCCCTCGAAGCCGTCAACCTGCTCTCTAAGATGATGAAAGCCAAGGACTACCGAGTAAGGGAAGAAGTGCTGAATACCTTCTTCCATTTGCGTCTCCTCTCAGAGCTGCCACCACCTGGCTCAAACGACAAATCGGATCGGCCAGAACTACCGTCAAAGCTGCACGGACGCAAGGTGAAGCAACAGACCTCGCAGCATATGACCAAACGCGAACGAAAATTGCTCAAACAGCGCCGTGAAGTCGAGAAAGATATGGCCGAAGCCTCTGCGCTGGTAAACCACGAAGAACGCGAGAAGATTCAGTCCGAGACGCTAAAAATGGTGTTTGTCACATATTTCCGAATCTTGAAGGCGAGGGTACCCGAGCTCATGGGTGCCGTATTGGAAGGACTGGCCAAATACGCACATCTGATCAATCAGGATTTGTTTGGAGATCTCTTGGAAGCACTGAAGGAGATTGTGAGCGCAGCTGACGAGGCTGTGAGGGGCGAATTGGATATGGACGGAGTCGAAGCAGAGAGGACACCGACAAACCTGGACCGCGAGGCGATCCGCAACAGGAAACGCGAGGGCCTTCTTGCGACACAAACTGCATTCACGCTGCTCTCCGGCCAGGAGGTTTCCAAGGCCGCCTCGAACTTACATCTCGACCTAAGTTTCTTCACAGCGCATACCTACCGCTCACTGTACCCGCTTTCGCTGGAAGCGGACATTGAACTTGGACCAAAATCGCTGCGTCTCCCCGATCCGCACTCGTCGAAATCAGCAGCATCAGCAGAGAAAAATAGAATCAACATCTCCACGCCCATTCTCCTGCTCACGCGCGTGTTGACGTCTATCCTGCTAACGCCTTCGTCCCCACCACCCACGCAGACGGTACTATCGTTCTTCAAACGTCTCCTGACCGTCTCCCTTCAACTGCCTGAGAAATCCGCGATGGCAGTTTTAGGTTTGATGGCCAAGATCGCAGACAAACACGGCCGCAAGATTGAAGCCTTGTGGTATAGCGACGAAAGGAAAGGAGATGGGGTATATAGGGGAGACAGCGAGAGCGTGGAAGGCACAAATGCGTTGGGGACTGGTAGTGGTGTTTGGGAGGCAGAGTTGCTCAGGAGGCATTACTGCCCCAAGATCAGAGAATCGGTTCAGAGGATGGAGGGGGGTATTAGAAACTTGCACAGATAGCTGCGACGTCCAAAACTCGGCTGAGCGAATGGCACATGCTTCTTCATATCTTGACGTGTGTGTAACCATCAAAATTTCACATGTTCCTCCTGCGCCATGGTTTCGCCCTCCAGTCCAGGGAGAAGAACTTAATAAAGGGTCGTCCACGCTTGTCTGGTCCCTTGTTCCTGTGTGATGTCGTCTCTTCTCCTCTACTCCAATTTCCTCTCTCGGTGAAGGTGAAATTCCACAGGTCCCTCCATGTTACGAAGCCCAGAGACGCCATTCATGCCGCTCACTCGGCCGCAAGAGAAGGCCGTCGAGGTCGATACAGGGGCAGATCACCCAACACATCTTTCTTCGAGAAATCGGCCCTAGGGTTCAACAACCTCAAGAGTTTTGAGTCTGGGATTTCTCTCATCGGCTACCACAACGCCACCTGTGGCTGAGGTTGTGTGTGATGTGATGTCAATGGTCAATGGACGAGGGGCGCAGGCTGTAGGAGGGGGAGAACAAGGCCCAGCTTTCGAACATCCCAACAAAATCCCGGAATTATCATCAAATGCACAATGCACATTTCAACATTCCACGCTTTGACATGTGCGTCTCTTTGCCCGCGCCAATCGACACACATGTCCGCCACCCTGGCGAGATCCAGATTGCTTGCATTGTGTGGCACACACCAACCTTTGCGGGCACCAAGCATGTGTGTTCTCCGGTCCTCAAAAGTTAATGCTCCTCTTCTGCATCACATCATGCCATTGACGCCTCTGATGCGTCCTGTCCCACTCGGCGTGCAAGAAACTGGCGAACTCTCTGGGCCTCAGGATCGTGGGCAGCTAAAAGCTCCCCGGAAAACTGGGGGCTGTGTGTGGTATGACAGGTGGGATTATGTGACGC